CAAAACTATAAAACAAAAAAACACACACTTTGAGAGAAATAGAAACAACCTTGCGGCTCTGTAATTGTCACATTAAAGATTTAGACTCAGTCATAATAAAAGTATGCTATTGAGGGGGCAAATACACATCTACCATATGTAAACATGCATTTAGAATTATTCAACACTAAATAAACATATTCTTATATAAACCTAGTCATGACTGGATCTCTTTAAAGCTGGCCATACATAGGTTCTTTTTTGTTCAGCCAGCAGGATTGAATGAAAAAAAAAAAACTTACCTCATTCTCTCATCCACACATTCATTCATCCACAAAGGTAGATGAGGGACTCCTCTCCATTGCGTTATTGTATTCTATTCAGGGGCGGACTGGCCATTTGAAAACTCGGGCACTGCCCGAGGGCCCAGGGTCAGTAGGGGGCCCTATGAGATGCCCCTGGTACCTTTTTCATAGGCTTTTTTGAGTTTGGGCAAGGACACAGGGGCCCCATGATCCCCTATTGCCGGGGGCCCCATGAGTTGTCAGTCTGCCCCTGATTCTATTAACAGAGAGACTTCCCCGCTGTCAGAATACACAGATCAGAACTGCAGCCCACTGATCAAGTGGTTTGTATCCAACAGGACATGTATGGGGGATCCTCCTCATTGCACTACTGCATTGTGACTGCAGGCAGACTTCCCAGCTGTCAGAATACACAAATCAGCACCGCAGCCTATCGCCTGTGGCTCTGATTGAGCAGCTTTTATCTGACAGGGCATTTGAACAGAAGTTGATCTGTAGATTGACTTTTGTTTAACTGCAATGGCCACACATGGATTGAAATTCAGCTATTCCCTACTGAACTGGCTAAATTTCAATCAATGTATGGCCAGCTTAAGTATTAGTATGTTTTCATGTTAGACTTACTTATTTCTTTTGTTTGTTCTCTTTAATGTACACCTTACATCATAGCATGATTGCTCTTTATTTCTATTATTGATAAAGGAAAAATGTTCCTCATAAAATGCACTATATTGCCAAACGTTTTGGGATGCCTGCCTTTACACACACATGAACTGTAATGGCATCCCAGTCTTAGTCTGTAGGGTTCAATATTGAGTTGGTCTATCCTTTGCAGCTATACCAGTTTCAACTCTTCTGGGAAGGTTGTCCACAAGGTTTAGGCGTTTGTCTATGGGGATGTTTGACTATGCTTCCAGAAGCGCATTTGTGAGATCAGGAACGGATGTCGGACAAGAAGGCCTGGCTCGCAGTCTCCGTTTTCATTCATCCCAAAAGGTGTTCATCCGACGCTTTGCATTGCGCTTGGTGATGTAAGGCTTAGATGCAGCTGCTCGGCCATGGAAACCCATTCCATGAAGCTCTCTACGCACTGTTGTTTTTTCTAATCTGAAGGCCACATGAAGTTTGGAGGTCTTTAGTTATTGGCTCTGCAGACAGTTGACAACTTCTGCGCACTGTGAGCTTCAGCATGAGCTGACCCCGCTCTGTCATTTTACGTGGCCTACCACTTCGTGGCTAAGTTGCTGTTGTTCCCAGTTGCTTCCACATTGTTATAATACCACTAACAGTTGACTGTGGAACATTTAGTAGCAAGGAAATTTCATGGATGGGCTTATTTCACAGGTGGCAACCTATCGTGGTACCACGCTTGAATTCACTGAGCTCCTGAAAGCCACCCATTCTTTCACAATTGTTTGTAGAAGCAGGCGGCTTGATTTTATAGTCCTGTGGCCATAGAGGTGATTAGAACACCTGAATCCAATGGTTTGCAGGCATGTCCCAATACTTTTGGCCCAATAATGTATGTGTGGTCTGTATTAGAAATTATATTTCTACCACAAAAAATTTTAAATATTTTTTTTAAACTACCAATAGTAGCTGCACTATCACACAAGCATCACTACACAAAAATTAGATTGCATTATGCACATACGTTAAGCGTGTTAAAATGTGTCTTGTGACTCCTCTTTGCAGCACTGCACAGTACCTAGCCAAAAGTGCCTAGCATCAAGCTAACATCAAGCTAACATGCAAATCATAAATAACAGTTAAAAAAGAAAGCATAAATGGCATGTGATATGTCATGGTGTTGCCCCGTTATCCTGCCTAAATTAATTCACTTGCACATTTTTTATGGTAAACATACTGTAACTCTCATTATGATTTTCTATTATTTATGCACGGAATTTCATGATGACATCTTGGTTTAATTTGAATATGCAGCAGATCACTTATCACTGACAAATGGTTAAAGATGAATTTTGCAGTAAGAGTATAGATACTGATGCATATAATAAGATTCAAGTTAGGAAACCCGCTAGATAGCAGTTTGCATATTAGAGTTATTTACTTGATTAAAATGCACTGCAATCTCACTACATTCTCTGATTTCACACAATACTGTATAATCAAAATATCAGTCAAAGTTGTCCAATTGTGTATACATTTTAGCTAACTTACTGCTGAGATCTTTTATTCATTTAACCAGGAGGTGGACTAGTTAGGCAAATTTACTGAACCCCTGGAGGATCCTCTGGAGGGTCTTGAGTATATGGTAAGAAAATAGATTTAAAAGTTCTTAGTGGGGTCTCTCATTTAAAACGTATCAATGTTACACCTGCCTCCCTGTGCTGATCATTCCAATCCCAGGGTCCCCTACCATGCCATTTCCAACAATTCTCACTGTGTACAGCATCTTAAACAAGTGCCAAAAATTATTGAAGGTTGCCTTCTGGCTGTAACCCACCCTCCCTCTTCTCCTGCTTCTGCATCTTGTGTTGCTATTATTACAACCTATTCAAGGAGTAGACGAACATCCTGACCTTCTCTTTCCATCAGCTCCACCCAAATAAATACAGCACCCATGGGTGTGCCCGGATAGCTGCTGGAGAACACATTGCAGAGCTGGTTTTCTGCGTGGGCCAGGCATCCAGAAAAGAGAGACACACATGACATGGCAGCCAGTAGCCATCATCTGTAGTTAGTGAACCAAAAAGAGCCTAAAGTAATATTAATACCTGACAAGTAAATAAAAACTATATCCTGGGCACAGTAGGAATGGCATCATGTTTTTCGGTGTGAGTTACTCACTTGTGAACTGGACTTGTAAAGTTGATTTGGGCAGCCATCTTCTTTAGCAAGTGAACCAGTAAAGCCTAAATTATTCCAAATAACTGACTGACTAATATTAAAAAGATAAATACACTCATTGGCCACTTTATTAGGTATATCTGTTCAATTGCTTGGTAACGCAAATTGCTAATCAGCCAATGACATGGCAGCAACTCAATGCATTTAGGCATCTAGACGTGGTGAAGATGACTTGCTGAAGTTTAAACCAAGAATCAGAATGGGAAGAAAGGGGATTTAAAGTGGAACTGCACTGCATCTGAGTACCACAAACCAAAAATGCTATAGAATTCATTTTTAATATTCAAAAAAACTCATGCATCCATTTATGTCTCCATGCTTTATTTTACTGAGAAATCATTTTGAGAAACAACTCCTAGCATTTTTATTAGTGGCCATCTTGAGTAAGAGCAGATGATTCATGTAGCAGTTATTTCCTGTAATCATCTGTCCTTAGCTCAGGTATTGGCTGAGCTGATAACCCTGCCTTCCTGAAAACTCCTGGGATGTATGACATCGTTTGCCTAGGCATGGAAACCAGGAAGTAAATGAAGGAATGCAAAAAAAGGTTAAAACAAGTAAATAGAATATACTTTCCTATCTATTTACTAATGCTAGTAGCATAAGGATTAGAAATACTCCATGCTGACTGAGAGATTGAAGGTCCGCTTTAAGTGACTTTGAAAGTGGCATGGTTGTTGGCAACAGCTGGGCTGATCTGAGTATTTAAAAAACTGCTGATCTACTGGGATTTTCATGTACAACCATCTCTAGGGTTTAGAGAATGGTTTTGGGGCAGCACAGTGGCTAAATGGTTAGTACTTCCGCCTGGCAGTACTAGGGTCATTGTGTCAGGGCTCCAGGGTATGACCAGAGGTATGTGACTGAGGCAGGGAAACGCAGGCTTCAGATAAGTTATAAACAATATAATTTATTAAAGACTAACAATACAAACATAAACGCAGTGCAATACTAAAACATAACACAGTGCAAACGAACCAAACCAAACCACCCACAGATAATACATACAATGCAAGCGTCGTCAGGCAGGCCGGGTCAATAACAATCGGGCAGGTAGGTACAGGGGGGTCAGGCAGAGAATGGTCGGGGTCACAAGCCAGGGATAAAACAGGAGAAGTCAGCAGAGGTCCGGATCAGGCAGGGTCAGCAACGAATCAGACAGAGACAGGAACAGGAATGCAGGAACAAGATACAGGGCCCAGGGAAAACACACACACCAAGGCCAAGACTGCAGGTCTGGCCATCACTTAAATACACCTGCATAAGCAGTTTCAGGTGTTTGGCTGACTGCAGGGTTGAGTCTCTGATTGCTGGGAGCACCCGCTGGCCAGCCCTGGTACTGCAGCCCACAAGGCAGGTGAGTCCCACCACTACTGGCAAGTCCATTCCTAACAGTACCCCCCCCTCAAGGAGCGGCCTCAGGACGCTCCAAACAGTCCTAGCTGGGCAAAATGTTCCACCGCCCGGGTCTGGTAACTGGCGGGATATCAAAGACTGGCACATCGGGCAGGACTCCGGGCAGCGGCACACCGGGCAGTTCTCCGGGCAGCGGCACACCGGGCAGCGGCACATCGGGCTGGATTCCGGGCAGCGGCACATCAGGCTGGACTCTGGGCAGCGGCACATCGGGCTGGACTCGGGCAGCGGCACATCGGGCTGGACTCCGGGCAGCGGCACATCGGGCTGGACTCCGGGCAGAGGCACATCGGGCTGGACTCCGGGCGAAGCAGCAGGCACCGGGCCACCAGGCGGAGCAGCAGGCACCGGGCCACCAGGCGGAGCGGCAGGCACCGGGCCACCAGGCGGAGCGGCAGGCACCAGGCCACCAGGCGGAGCGGCAGGCACCGGGTCACCAGGCACGACAGTGGGCTCCGAGTCAACTGGCATGACCGCTGGCACTGGGTCAGACATTGGATCGTCTGGATGGACAGCGGGCATCAGGTCACCAGGCATCAGGTCATTTGGCTCGACAGCGGGCACCGCGTCATCTGGCAAGGCAGTGGGCACCAAGTCACCAGGCACGACAGTGGGCTCTGAGTCAATTGGCACGACAGCGGGCACAGGGTCATCAGGTACCAGATCGTCTGGCTCGACAGCAGGCACCGGGTCATCTGGCGCTGGATCGTCTGGCTCAACAGCGGGCATCGGATCACCAGGCATGACCGCGGGCACTGGGTCATCAGGCATTGGATTGTCTGGCTCGACAGCGGGCATCGGGTCACCAGGTATGACAGCGGGCACTGGGTCACCAGGTCATTTGGCTCGCCAGCGGGCACCGCGTCATCTGGCAAGGCAGTGGGCACCGAGTCACCAGGCACGACAGTGGGCTCTGAGTCAATTGGCACGACAGCGGGCACCGGGTCATCAGGTACCGGATCGTCTGGCTCGACAGCAGGCACCGGGTCATCTGGCGCTGGATCGTCTGGCTCGACAGCGGGCATCGGGTCACCAGGCATCAGGTCATTTGGCTCGACAGCGGGCACCGCGTCATCTGGCAAGGCAGTGGGCACCAAGTCACCAGGCACGATAGTGGGCTCTGAGTCAATTGGCACGACAGCGGGCACGGGTCATCAGGTACCGGATCGTCTGGCTCGACAGCAGGCACCGGGTCATCTGGCGCTGGATCGTCTGGCTTGACAGCGGGCATCGGATCACCAGGCATGACCGCGGGCACTGGGTCATCAGGCATTGGATTGTCTGGCTCGACAGCGGGCATCGGGTCAACAGGTATGACAGCGGGCACCGGGTCATCAGGTACCGGATCGTCTGGATCAACAGCGGGCATCGAGTCAACTGGCCTAATAGGATCATCAGGCTGGATCAGTTCATCATGCTGGGTAGAGGCTTCAGGCTGAATAGAGGCATCAGGCTGAATAGAGGCATCAGGCTGGGTAGAGGCATCAGGCTGGGTAGAGGCATCAGGCTGGGTAGAGGCATCAGGCTGGGTACAGACATCAGGCTGGGTACAGACATCAGGTTGAAGTGCGGGTGCCGAGGCACCAGGCTGAACCATGGAAGGCCGGTTCTCAGACGGCAGGCTGACCGGTTTGGATACTGGCAGGATGGTACTGGTTGGAAAGAATTTTTGCTTTTTTCTGGTTTTAACTACTGGAGCACTGCAAGTAAACGCAGGTCCGCAAACGAATGGAGCAGCTGGAGACAGAGAAGAGCTGGAGGATGGAACAGGGGAGGGAACAGTTGCTACAGAGGGCTTCTTTACAGGGTTAAAGGCAGGATAGGTGCAGCGAGTGGGAACAGGGTACTGACATGCGGTAGATAGCAGGGCAGGAGGAGCTGTTGGGAATGCAGGAATAGAGCTTTGAGGAAATAGATTAGAAGCAGGACTGGGTTTTTGTAAGCTGACTGAGGCTGGGTGCAACAAATCTGTCCATGTCTGCAGTATGGGTTGAACAAAGCTCAGCTTACACAAAGCCTGTCTGACCAAAGACTGCACTGCGTTTATACAATCCCTTAATACCTGTGGTGAACATGCAGCATAATGTTTCAAGAAGCAATCCACATCATCTTCTAATAACCATACCAGGGACTCTACCTGGTCTGCACTCAATGGGGGCAAAAAGTCATTCCTGCTTTCAGGGGTACCAGATGAAACCAACTCTACACAAACCTGAATCAAAGGTTGCCCTCAGAGAACTCTGTGCCCTGATCTACTAGAACATGAGCGATCCGTATACATTCTAGCAGTTGATCCCGGGGATACTCCTTCAGAGTTTGATAAGCATACTCTCTGTCATCAAACACTAGCAGAGATAAATACACAACCTCATCAAGATCCATCCTTCCAAGCAACAAGCCAAGATGGCTTCCCTCTGCAGCCACTTCTGGTCAGGATTGGCCTTGGTGTAATGTCAGGGCTCCAGGGTATGACCAGAGGTATGTGACTGACGCAGGGAAACGCAGGCTTCAGATAAGTTATAAACAATATAATTTATTAAAGACTAACAATACAAACATAAACGCAGTGCAATACTAAAACATAACACAGTGCAAACGAACCAAACCAAACCACCCACAGATAATACATACAATGCAAGCGTCGTCAGGTAGGCCGGGTCAATAACAATCGGGCAGGTAGGTACAGGGGGGTCAGGCAGAGAATGGTCGGGGTCACAAGCCAGGGATTAAAACAGGAGAAGTCAGCAGAGGTCCGGATCAGGCAGGGTCAGCAAAGAATCAGACAGAGACAGGAACAGGACATGCAGGAACAAGATACAGGGCCCAGGAAAAAACACACACCAAGGCCAAGACTGCAGGTCTGGCCATCACTTAAATACACCTGCATAAGCAGTTTCAGGTGTTTGGCTGACTGCAGGGTTGAGTCTCTGATTGCTGGGAGCACCCGCTGGCCAGCCCTGGTACTGCAGCTCACAAGGCAGGTGAGTCCCACCACTACTGGCAAGTCCATTCCTAACACATTGGTTCAAATCCCAGCCATGGCACCACCTGCCTGGAGTTTGCATGTTCTCCCTGTGCCTGCGTGAGTTTCCTCCGGGTACTCGTTTCCTCCCACACTCCAAAGACATGCTGGTAGGTTAATTGGATCCTGTCTAAATTGGCCCTAATATGTGTATGTATGAATGTAAGTTAGGAATCTTAGATTGTAAGCTCCTTGAGGGTTTGGGACTGATGTGAATGTATTATATATATATATAGCACTGTGTAAATTGGTGGAGCTATATAAGTAACTGTAATAAATACAATAAATAGGGCCATTTATTCCAAACTATATAGAGTGGTTTCAGGATTTACAGCCATCATCAGTGCAGTGTATGGAAACTGTAGCTTCTATGAAATAGTGCTTAGGACCTTAGATTGTACACCCCTTGAGGGTTAGGGACTGATGTGAATGTACAATATATATGTGTAAAGCGCTGCGTAAATTGACGGCACTATATAAGTACTTGAAATAAATAAATAAAAAGAGAAAATATCCAGTGAGCTGCAGTTATGTGGATGAAAATGCCTTGTTGATGTCAGAGGTCAGAGGAGAATGGTTTGAGATGATAGAAAGGTAACAGTAACTCAAATAACCACTCGTTACAACCAAGATATGCAGAATATCATCATTTCAACCTTGAAGTCGATGGGCTACAGCAGCAGAAGACCACACCTGGCTGTCACTCCTGTCAGCTAAGAACAGGAAACAGAGGCTACAATTCGCACAGGCTCACCAAAATTGGACAATAAAAGATTGGAAAAACGTTTGTCTGGTCTGATGAGTCTCGATTTCAGCTGCGACATTCAGATGGTAGGGTAAAAATTTGGCGTAAACAATATGAAAGCATGGATTCATTCTGCCTTGTATCAATGGTTCAGGCTGGTGGTGGTGGTGTAATGGTGTGGGGGATAATTTCTTGGCACACTTTGGGCCCTTAAAACCAATTGAGCATTGTTTAAACACCATGGTCTACTTGACTAAGTCAGGCTAGACTTCACCTTCTAAACAGAAGCTGTCAGCTGTCCTTAGCTGCCTCTGAGACTACATTGAACATTGAGTTATTGCCCTAAGCGGCGCTCTCCCGCTATGGTGTCCGTAACATTAGCACTCTGCTTAATACAAGATTCAAGCTTTGCTACAACCAGACTCTGTGTATTTACTGCCTGCACCATGCTGCACCTCCTCACAAATCTCCTCTTGTTGTCAGTCTGTTGTCAATCAGAGTGGCTCCTTCCCCTTTCCTTCCTATACTCAATGCATTACCTGGCTCACTGCCCTAAAAACAATTTTGCAAGTTAGCATTGATTAAGCTCAGCCTGTATGGTTTTCAGTAATAACAGACAAAGTACATGCATTACTGGCTGGAAAGATGGAAAGCTATGTGTATATGAACAAATCAGAAAACATGAGTGATATGCACAAAATCAGGCAGTGGCAAATACATATCTACATGCAGAAAACAGCATAGATTTTGAAACTCTAATGTTAACATGCAAAAAAAAGGCAAAAGGAGAAGGAGCTTCAAAACTCTGAGATTGTGAAGAGAATGATGATACCATTCTATTTATTGTCAAACTAGGCTTTGCCTATAGAGCGGAGGTTAAAGCTGTTCATACTTTATGTAGATCTGATCACAATCATAGTATTTTTTTTTTTTAGCTAGTTTTGCTTCTTAGCAAATATAATGTCAGTTTCCACAAGCATATAGAGGAGATTGGGGTCCTGAGCAGTAAAAGAAAGGCATGCTGCGTCAAGAGAAGAAGAGGTGGTGCAGTAACATTGTTTAGCAAAACTTCAGTCAATCTCTTGCTCTTCATTATGGACAACAAATAAACCAGGGTATTAAAGACGGTGTTACGTTTTGTGTGCATATAAACAGCAGACAGAATGCAGTGAAAGAAGCAAAATTCTGTGATTTGTCAAAGAGAGAAGAGCACAGGAGAGGCTTTTCTCTTTAACCACTTCAGTTCTCGTTATAAAATTGTGCAAATAAATAATTTTTCTTCATAAATTTAAGTCAAAATGTATTCTGCTATGGCATTTGGCAGCGATCATGGCTCTGGTATGTAATCAGGATACTGGTATGGCAGTGATCAGGACATTGGTATGGTGTATGGTGGTGTTTTTGTGAGCACTAGGACAGGTGACAGGGGCTGGTTGCATTTTTTATTACACTGGGGCAGTGATCAGGAACACACTAGGGTTAGCTGGCACTGCAGTCTGAGAGGCTGCTGTACACTCACAGGCTGCAGCATTGCTTCTTTTTCAGAGTGAGAACAGAAAGAACCGAACTTCACTTTTACTTTGTACTGTTTACTATGTGATTGCTGTGATTGGAGAGAGCTATCACATGCTACAATACCATGTTACTACTAGGACACAGCAGTAATGTGATCTTCTGTGTCTGGGTAACACACAGATCACAGGGCTCTTGGGTGTGCACTCTGTGAGCCTCCAATGCAGGTTGACATACAGATACTAGTTAAAGTGTTACTAAACCCAGGGTCCTGTATTCACTATATCTGGTCTCCCACAGTACACGGAACATGGAAGTGCAATTATTTTAGTAAACATAAACCGCTAAATACCTTTTCTCATCAGCAGTTAGAGCAGTCTTGTGACTTCTGCCGAGCACTGATAAAGCTTGTAGCAGGAGTTTTCTTTCTGCTCTAGGAGGATGCAAACTCCCCAACCTCTGGATAGTGCTGATTGGCCCTGTGCTGATCACATGGATCCCAAGGAAAAAAAAAACGTTCTCTAGCAATATACACTAAACTGAGCATGTGCATGTGGCTACGGGTTCAGTCTGTCTTATCAGGAGATAAGACGTGGACATTTGAAAAAGAGGAGGGGCAGAGAAGAAAAGATCAAATGGCCTTTTACACAATGCAGATTATTAACCCCTTAGGTTCCACAGTGAGTATAACAAGCATGTTTTACTGCATATACAGACTGATTTTACTGTTGTGGGTTTAGTAACACTTTAATAATGTTAATGTTAGTAGCACAACTATATTTGCTAACACATGGATTAGATATCTTACAGCCATGGCGAATGGTCAAAATTGAAAAGAACTAAATTAGGATGCTGCTCAGTCCGTTTTCAAACCACCCTGGTGGAATCATCGGTCACAAAGTCAAGCAGATCTCTTCTGGAGAACACTGATAATGCTGCAATTGAAATCCATTTACATCACAAAAAAAAATGAAAAAAAGAATGTCTGGAGAATTTGCCCAGATGTTCTATGTAGTCATTGACCAGGCAACAACCAACCTAGAAATAACATTTCTCAAAAGATGAAACTTTGATCTGTGATATGCATTATTCTATTTAAACCCCAAACTGTGTAACCCCTTCATGCCTAAGGGTGAAACAAATCTTAACACCTAAGCACAATCTTGCAACTTTTCCATGTGTTAGTAAAAACCCTACGTATCATCACAACTACTTTGTACATCCAGGTGGATTATACCTTGTTTTTTTCAGGACACATTGGGCTTTCATTTGGTGGTAAATCTCCTGATTTTTTTGTTATTATCAAAGGAAAACTGGCCCGAAATAGTAAAAAAAAAAAATAACTTTTTAAAATTTAGCTGTGTGTTTCTTGTTACTACCATAACCTACCACCAGAGAACAACCCAACATAAATGTTCCAGCTCTTGATGATCTCAGTGATACCATATATGTGTATGTTATTTGTTGTTTGTACCCACAGTACAGCCCAGTAACAATAGTGCGCATTTTGTTTTTTGTTTTTAAAACACACTGACATTAACTGACAAAGGTACAAAAAAAAAAAAGCAACCTGACCCTTGACTCT